TCATCCTCCTGGGGATGAGGAGCCCCTGGCAACCACCATTCTACTTTTGTCTCTATGAATCTGACTACTCTAAGTACCTCATATAAGTGGAATCATACAATATTTGTCCTTTTGTGACTAGGTGATTGACTCAGCATAATGCCTTCAGGGATCATTCACGTGGTAGCATGTGTCAGAATTTCCTTCCTTTTTAAGGCTGAATAATATTTCATTGTGAGTATACACCACATTTTGTGTATCCACTTATCTGTTGATAGATACTTGGGTTGATTCTACCTTTTGGCTACATACAAATAATGATGGAACATAAATGGGTGTACACAGATCTGTTCACGTTTCTATTTTCATCTCTTTCAGGTACCCAGAAGTGGAATTTTTGGATCCTATCATAATTCATATGGTTTTTTTTTTTTTTGAGGAATCACCATACGTTACAGCTTTCTTATTTTTGAGCTTAATTTTACTTCATCTCTTAACCACTCAAGAAGGGTTTATGAAGAGTTTGTTTTTGATGCTCTTACATATTGTTTTGTTGACTTTGCAAATAAAGGCAATCTGGTATAAAATTCCAGGGTTACAACTCTTTCTCCTGAAAGCATTCACTGTCTTCTGGCAGTCAGTGTATAGATGAAAAGGTTGTGACCTTTCTGATATTTGTTCTTTTCTAATAGCTTCCCCCACCCCGCCCCATTCACGATGCTTATGGATTTTTAAAAGTTTGTTTGTAGAAAAAAAAAGAAAAGAAAAAAATTGCCACGTGTGAGTCTCTTTGCTTTGAGGTCTCTTTGAGACATGTTATTCTTCACCTGAGGAAAATCCCTTTCTGCTATATATTTAATATTGCTTATTTGCACTTTTTCTACTTTCTCCTGTAGGAGCACGAATTAATTATATCTTTAGTCGCCTTTCTCTATTCCCCTTACATAATCTTTCTTCCATCTTTCTCTTTTTTATCTCTAACACAGACTGGCAAGTAGAGTTCATGGCCTGGCCTGTGAGCTCAGAATGGCTTTTTTAGAGGGTTGTAAAAACAAACAAAACACACAAAAAGAATATGTGACAGAGACCGTGTGGCCTGCAAAGCCTAAAATATGTAAAGCTGGCCCTTTATAGAAAAAGTTTGCTGACCTCTGACCTCCACCCCAAGCTTCTCAGGTTTCTCCTCTGTATCTTCAATTCTACTTTGTCACGGGGCCATTTCTGATATTAGTTCTCCGCCACTGTCTTTAGTGAAGATTTCAATTTTCCAGTTACATTTTTAGGCTCTTGGCAATCTTCCGTATGCCATCTTCCTTTCAACTACATGGTGGTCTTTTCATCTCAATCTCTCCTCTTCACAGCTGCTTCTCCAGCCTCATAAAGAACATTTAATTTACTAAAGTCCTAAAAGGTGCTTCTGCTGGGTCTTCCTCTACCTCATCCTTCAGTACTTCCTCCTAAGGCCCCTGAGGTTCTGTCTGTGTCCTCCCTCTGTATGCATACCAGCACATGGCAGAATCTGGCCAGACTTGGGGTTCACAGATTGTCATTGGTTCCCTCGCTGACTACCTGGATGACCACCGAAGCCATCTCAGATGCGCTACTCATGGGCACGTTCAAGTGTGCAGCTCCCAGCAAGCCACTCCCCAGCTTCTGCCTGACGTCCCCCTCCTGCAGGAGTCGGCAAACTGCTGTGTGTGGCCTGTATGCCCCATTAGGTAAGAGTGGTTTTTACAATTTTTAAAAGGATTGTAAAAAAGAATAAACAAACAAAAAACCAAGAATAATATGCAACAGAAACACTTTGTGGTCCACAAAGCCTGAAATATCTCTTATATGGTCTTTTACAGAAACAGTTGCCAACTGCTACTTTAGAGCATCTCTACACAGGTGGCATCTCCTCCTGCCTGGCTCTCACCACTGAAGGAGTGCAGCCCAAATCTACAACCCCTGCAGGCACGACTGTCAGCGCCCTTCTCACTGGGCTCCTACCGACAGCGTTTCATTCACTGGGGCTGTGGCTCAGAAGCAACCGACCTACCCCTGATTCTTAGCAGCTTGTTTTTTACATGACAGCGTTTCTGTTCAGAGACAGAAAAACGCGTGGGGTTGCTGTATTGGAGAACAGGAGGCAGGGTGCCGGAAAAAGGGAACCCCAAAGATGGCAACAAGAAGAAGAAGGAACAACGGCCCAATCTTAAGGTAACCCGAACCCCGGAAAACCGAGGTAAAGGGCAACAAGTTTGCCAAAAGGAAAAAAAAAAAAGCCCTTCCAACCAAATTTTTTGGCCAAAAGAATCCGGTGCAAAAAAAAAAAGATGTAAAATCACTAAGTAGAGGTTTAAAAACAATAGACTAATTGATGATCTATTTACACATTAAGTCAAAAAACATAATCGTTAATATTACCTGTAATCATGTACTGTTTTTCTTGCATTCTCTAGTTGTTCGTTTGTTAACAGAATATTCCTAGGGTCGGTTACAGTGAAGAAATGATTGGCTCGTCCCACAAAGGTGCTTTGATCCCATCGAGGCTCCTTGATGTTAATGTTTGGTGGCAGTTCTCCAGACATGGTCCTGGATGGCAGAGTCGAACAGACAAGTCCGTGTAAGGCTTACACGGTCACTACATATTCTGTAACTTTATTAGTCACACGAAATCTCCAAGTAAAGATTTATGTATCCTCTTCCTATTTATAAGGATAATGTTGCTATAAACGGCAGAAAGACCACTGAAATTCAAAGCTAACTTTGTCTACAAATCTCAGTTGATCTGCACCAAATTTCAAGTTTCCTGCATTATTTCTCTTTATAAGTGCATAGTATTTCAACATTCCTTACTTGTTGGATACCTAGAAATACTCTAGAGAAAATAAAAATATAAAAAGTTTAAAAATAGTATCAGCAGTGGCAGGGTCTGATGTTTGAACCCATTTTTCTGGGGGAAACAAGTAATGTCAAACTACTACTGCATTCTGGCCTACTGAAAGTGTTATTTCTACCAGTAAAAGTGACTAATGATGCAAAAAAGAAAAAAAAGTGGGCTTAAATACTAAGAATTACACAATTAAAAAAAGATCCAGATTCATTTAGCCTTCTTTAGTACAAAAACCACCTATCAAAAATTAAAAATTATGTTCTTCAATCTACCAGGAACATAGTGGGAAAAACACATTCTGACAGCCCCGTGAATAAGAATAACACTGTAGCATATAATTATCCTCACAAAATTTTTATTTTCTGGCTAAAGAACCACCTCTTTTTTCCAAAAGTAATTAATTTCTTTCTCTGAGTAATACATGCTTATTTTAGAACTGCATTGTATTTTTGTAATAGATGCTTACTGTAGTGTTCTGAAAAGTATAAGCTTATTGTAGCAAAGAAAGAATAAGGAAACAAAATCTCCCATGATCCAGCCACTCTGAAATAATTATTGTTCATGTTTTAGTGCATATCCTTACAGATGTTTTTGATACATGTTATCATATAATTAAAAATAAGTCGGTATCATACTGTATGTTTCAATATCTTGATTTTTTTGCATTTATTTCATTAGCACCTCCCATGGCACTAAATATCCATTCTAGATACATAACATTTTTACTGTTTACGTTGTTTTCAGTTTTTCATAATTACATATCATGCTGAGCATTTGTCTACCAATCTTTTTCTTTACAGCTGGTGTTATACTCAGGCTAGATCTCTCTGCATGATATTAGCAGGTCAAAGCATCTAACCACTATGAAGGCTTCATACACCTGCTTTGTTACACCTGTTTCCGTTTCCTACATTTCTGATACCAGTTTTAATTATAGCTTTCTTTTCCAGGTAATTTTAAAATTTTTTTTTTTTGATGTTTCACAAGTTCTACAGTATATTAAGATGTCGGATGTTAATGCTGGGCACTCTTGTAATTTGTGCTTTATCAAAATCTCTAATTAGTACATATCATGGACCACGGGATCAAAATTGAACATATCAGGTCCACAGATGTGAGGAATCTAGTGTATGGAAAACAGCTGGGCAGTGACAGTGGGACTATAGAAATCAGCCCTGCGACCCCTGAAGCAGGCCGGGATGGCAGACACTCAGAAAGCCAGCTGCAAAGCTGGTGGGAGGCTGTACTTCTCCCAACGGCACAATGCAGCTATAAAGTGTCATGACTACTCCCTTTTTTGAGTGACCACTGCTTTTTAAAATCTCACTGAGAAACCTTGTTCTCTATAATCACAGATGGTCAGAGACTTTGCTGTTTGAAATCATAACAAGAAGAAGGAAACATAGTCTCACTCTTGACATAGAAAGGGGACTAGATTTCCAACCCAGGTGCAGAGTTCCAGAGTAGGAAATTTTTAGACACAATCCAAGTCTACTTTAACTTTGTAATTCCCAAAGAAACAGGGATGTGGGTCCACTTCACAGTCCAAACTTCTATACCCAGTCCTGCCTTGAGCCTATCAAAATACTGCTTCACTAAACTTGACCTAATCTCCACCGTTTTCCAAAATGTTATAATAGATCTGTCTCCTCCTTTGTTTGGTGAGACAGAAGGTTTCTCTGGTGTGTGGTCTACTCATTGCAATGAGCCAATAAATATGACTCTTGGACTAAAGGTTTAACCCTACAGGTCTTTAATCTATTGGGCTATGATAACAGAAATATCTAAATTTCAAATTAGAGCATATCAAATTGCCTATGTTACATCCAGGGATACAAGAAATATAATGCATGACAAAGAGCTGTGTCACTGTATGGAGAAATGTCTAAATTTTGAATTAGAATACATTAAACATATTATTTATAACACAGAAAAAGCAAAGCGAAGACTCCAATTCATACACAGGAGAGCAGTAAGTAGTTTTCGGAGTCGCCTACAGACACCTAGGGCTGTGCTGAGGCCTCTTAGCAACCTACGGGGAGTGGAGGGGAGTTCAGGGTCTGAGCCTCGAAGCTTGTACTCAATTAGGGCAGACATGCTTTTATCTGCCTTTTACATCTGTGTTTTATGACAATGATTCTTTGAAAAGAGGTTTTTACAGCTTGGAAAAATAAGAAAAAAGTTGAAAACCACTACTGGAGAAGACAATCTGAAGATCTAGAAGAAGATTCATGAAAGTCCAGAGGCCCTATGATTTTCCAAGCTTTTTTTTTTTTAATCCAACTTTATAAGTCATCTGATGTGCACTTGATTTGTGCTGCTTAAATTATGTGTGGTGAAGGATTTGCTTTTTTTCTCTTAACTTCCAATCCCCATCATGAACTAATAGTTTTGCAGAAATACAATGTAAAAAATTTTCAGAGAAATGAAATGAAAAAAGATACAAAATTAAAGCCTCTATTTTTAATTAGATTCAGCAGATATAAAATGAGTGTCAAACTGTTCTAAGAGTTTCTAATATTTATTTTCAATTTCTGTCCTTAACCTCAATATGGACCTGTAACAAACAGTTCATATTCTGGTCCACAGGTCACACTTTGAATGTACAACTCTGTATATAGTTCGAAATTTGTTTCTGTCCTTAAGTGTCATCAAATAAATTCCATACATAATCACATAACTGAATAAGAGATCATCTGGCCTGTCTCTTATTTCCGAAAGAGAAAATAAAAGACATAATTTTTACCCTCTAGTAGACCACAACTTAAATACAGAATAGAAGAAATTCTTAGCAAAAAAAAATCTTTAGCTTTGTTTTTTCTAAAATGTTTAGAAAATGTTGCTGCCTTTAATATTCACTTATTGGGTACCTACTACATGACAGATTCTTGGACTATATCAGTTAACAAAGACAAAAGTTCCTGCCCTTGTGGAGCTGACATTGGGTTGGCGGAGTGAAAGGGGAAACAAGAAATAAACAAAAAACATAAATGATAAATAAACTATTCCTTATATTGGAAGGTAATAAATGATTAGGGGGAAAAAAACCCAGAATGAGATAAGAAGAATCATGAGCAGAGACTGCATTTTTAAATAAGGTAGTCAGGGTAGACCTCACTGAGAAAGTAACACTGGAGCAGGATTGGAGGGAAGTGAATCATGTGGGTATCTCGGGGAAGAGCATTCCAGGCAGAGGGAACAGACATTGCAAAGACCTGAAGGCAGGAATGTGTGTGGTGTCTCCAAAGAACAGAAAGAAGGCATGAGCTGGAGTGGAGAGGGGAGACGGGAGAGAGGGAATGAGGAGGTAAGGAAGGCTCTGGGGAGGAGCTGAGGCTGGAATTGGACAGTGTGGAATCGTGTAGCTACTGTGACCTTGGCATTGTACTCTGAAGGAAATGGGAGTCATTGGAGGGTTCTGATCAGAGGAATGAAATGAGCTGACTCACAGGTTAAAAGGATCTCTCTGGCTGCTGTGAGAAGAGCAGACAGTGGGGAGGTGAGAGTGGAAGCAGGAAGAGCACTGCAAGGTCACTGCAGCGAGCCAGGAGAGCGCTGACGGTGGCTCAGGCCAGGGTGGCAGCACAGAGGTGGCCAGAGGTGCTGGAGTGCTGGGCTCCAGTGATCCTTCTGCCTCAGCCTCCCGAAGTGCTGGGATATTGTGTTGATGGCACCAGGAGGATTTCTTGACAGCTGCGATGTGGGATGTGAGGAAAGGAAAAAGCATGCTTCCAAGATGTTTGGTCAGAACAACTGGAGGACAGGTGAGTCCCAGGGAGAAAACAGGAAGTTCACATTTGCGCATGAGAAGTCTGAGAAGCTAAGAGACGTCAAGCGGAGATGTCCAGGAGGCAGTGGAGTATGCAAGTCTGGAGTTCAGGGAAGAGTCTCATCTGGAGATACATAGGTGGGAGTTGTCAGCACAGAGATTAAAGTCATGAGATGGGATCAGCTCCCCAGGGAAGGGAATGTAAATAGAGAAGAGATCAGAAAAGACTGAAGTCACAGCAAAGGATGCTGAGAAGGAGTGAAAACAGGTAGGTGGAAAAACAGGAGAGTGTGGCGTCCTGAAAGGCAGGGCAGGTAAGTCTATTGGTGGAAGATACTATGGTAGCTGGTTACTCTTATTTTTGTACAGTGAAGAGGAGCGGATATAACTCCCTGGTGTTAGTGTGCAAAGATAGTTGTTTTTGCAAGTTCTAAAAATCCTAAGCAACGGTGGTAACAAGAAGGGAGAGACTGCAAAGTCCATTAAATGCCCCCTCCTCGAGAAGCTGTTTATTTCTGCAAAGCTGCTGGCATAGACCAATGATTCTGAACCAATGGAACACATCAAAATCACCTGGAAGCCTTTTTTTTTCTTTTTTTGAGACAGAGTCTGGCTCTGTTCCCCGGGCTAGTGCCGTGGCGTCGGCCTAACTCACAGCAACCTCAAACTCCTGAGGGGCTCAAGCAATCCTTCTGCCTCAGCTTTCAGAGTAGCTGGGACTACAGACGTGTGCCACAACATGTGGCTAACTTTTTCTATTTTTAGTAGAGACGGGGTCTCGCTCTTGCTCAGGTTGGTCTCAAACTCCTGACCTCAAGCAGTCCTCTCGCCTCAGCCTTCCAGAGTGCTGGGATTATAGGCGTGAGCCACCGCGCCCAGTGGGCCTGGAGAGCTTTTTAAAATTTTATTTATCTTATTTTTTTTAGAGAC